ATTAAGTCATAACAAAATAATACTAACAGTCCCTCAACTTCCCATAGGCCAGAGAACATAGATTTTTAAGTATTTCGTCTTCCTCTGCCTGGGAATTCTGCCTCCACCCCACCCCTCCAGTCTCAAGACAATGCCTTCAGCCTTTGAAACTGCATCTATTGTAAACAGCTCTGAATATTAACATAGCCCAGAGTCCTCTTCTCTTTTAAAAGACCCCCAGCGTTTCAAATTGCAGTAACCCAGGAGAGGGAAGTTCCCCAGTGAATAAATGTCATCAAGCTCCCTCAAAAGGAGTTGAAAGTTAGGCTTGCTCATGAAACTTAAAGTCCTTCAACCTACGGGGGTAAGTGAGAGGAATCCCTTTAAGTTTTAAACACAGGAAAAGAAGAAAGAACCTGGGATAAACAGCATCCTTCACTGCTTATAGTAACTTTCAGTTCAATGAATCCCTTTGCTAGCTAGCATGGCCTCTGTGGACTTATGTAATAACCATGAGCTATTTTAAACAACTTCCTTCCAGCCTTCTCCATCTAGCAGACCTTCAGGGCTCTAGCAGGTGCACAAAACTGGGCCAGGTGTATTGTAACTCACACAAAACCCTACTGCTTTCTCTCACATTCCTTTTCACCCTAACAGAGCGGATGCTGAAAAGGCTTCGCACAGAGGAGACACCTCTACAGAAAGGGAGAGAGGCCCTTCCATTGTGAGCACGATGTCTTAGGGAGAGAAAGGTCAGCCAGAGGCCATCCCAATGTGGTCAGTGAGGACTGCACAGGGAACCCAGGCAAAGTAATTAGCACTGGAGGGAGCGAAAGCTTCAGCACACAGAAGAGACACTGGAGAGCTGGCACATTCACTAGGAACTAAGCCCTGTGATTGCCCGGAGCTGAGATCTGAGCCAACATTGAATTTTCTTCATCTTTTTGAAGATATTCCTAAGAATTCATGCCAATAATGCACTCAAGTGTCTGGAGATGTGAAACCTAGTAACCAAATGTAATTATAGAAAAAAATGAACACTTTTTTTTTTATTATTAAAAAATGGTCCCCTGCAAAAAAGGGGGCAGCAACAACTGACATATCCTAAAAGCAAGAGGGGCACTGTGTGCCAATACAAAGTTAATTTACATTGGGCCCTGTGGGCCTCTGGGCACTTCATAATTTAGCAGTAGTCAAAAATTAGCATTTATGGCCATGATTTCATATGAGCCACACTTAAACAATGTACCTTCCTTTCAAGGCAACCAATTTTATTTGCCAGAGACGTTACTCAAAAAAGGTGACACAGCACCAGCAACAGACAAATTATCCATCATCAAGAGAGAAACAAAGCTAGACTTCCGACACGTGTTGCTAAAGATTTGAAAGCACTTCCACCTCTCAGGTTTTTCCTGTGCTGTTACCCGCAGGTTTAAAACACTCCCTATTCCAAACGACCTTCTGCCCATCCCCACAAATTGGAAGATGTGCAAGGTCTGTTTAGCTCTTCTTTAACGACACCGACACAAAGTGGAAAATGGGCAGAAGGAAGATCTCAGGACAACCCACAACAATCTATTTCTTACCAAACAAGATCTCAGCTTAGCTTTTGGAACAATTTGGTCATCTGCACTTTAAATCTAATTTGCATTAACAGGATGGGAAGTATTTTCCAAACCCCTAATTTACAACACCCTGCACACCTGGGCCTTCCCGCACAGCTGTAAAATTTGAAAGACAAAGGCCCTCTTTGCTTCACATCTACAATGGCAACCACAGTTTGTGTTTATTTTCTAATGCAATCAGAAGCCAAGGTTAGATTTAAGATGTCAATTTGGTACTGCAAACACATAAAGATACATAATATAAAGAACTCAAATCAATAAATTCATCTTAATGTGTCTCAGAACCCAGGATAACCACACTTGTCCTTTTGTGAACATCCTTGCTTTTTGAATGCCATGTCAATGCCATCCCCTTTAAACTGAAGGCAAGAACTGGGGTTTAGTCTTCCTATAGGGCTGCCTTCCCCAAAATCCTACTAGGCCCTCATTTAGCTCCCAGAACTAGTAACAAATTTAACAACAGACAAGGGTATAAAGTAAATTGTATTTAACAATTCTTAAACAGCTCTAAAACCATGCTCTCAAAACTAATTTCAAAGAAAGCAAACATCTGGGTCCTAAGAAGTTCAACTTCTTCTAAAGTTCTGGGAAGCTGGAATAAGGCTTGGCAGTGCTTGGTGCTATTTATGAATGCTGGATGGACCATGCCAATCTCACCTACGTAATGGGATGGGAGTCTCAGTCATGGCTCAACTCCTACAAGTTACTGTGCTGTATAAATTATCTTCCAGCCACAAGGATTAACATGACTTTCCCATCCATCAGCTCCATTCCATCTCTCCTACACATACTCTATCTACATCCATATTATAAAGTGTTACTTTCCTTATGTTAGGTTTAGAAGCAACTCTAACATTAAATGCACTGTTTACAAAAGTAAGAGGGAAAAAAAAAAGTCCCATAAAGCCACAGGTCCCCTGCTATCTCAAATCCACAGCTTGAAATTGTTTGAACTAGTTGCCGTAAATCTAGTTCATGGGGTTATAAACTAGCTCAAAGCATTTTCTAGACACAATGGACTTGTAGGGTGTAAACTTGGTCAAATTGCAAGATATTTCATTGTATTAGACAGAGACTTTCTCCCTTCAAGTCTCGGGGAACCACAAGCAGTAATATAAGCTGTATAAATATCCTTATGTAAAATACAGAATAAAATTAATAGTTTAAACTAAGAAATCTGAAATTGAAGAATAAACAAACATTTCCTTGATTTTTCTCTAATCAGAAACAACTTCACCAACATTTTCAAAGGGTAACCATTTTGTACTGAACACTATTGTTGCCACATACAAGCCAGAAGTTACATCTTAGAAGCTAATCAGTTAACACCATAATCAGTCTGATCAAGTCTACTGAAGCTCAAAATAAGGAGTTTGGTATTCAGCCTTAAATGTGTGAGTAAGAGAAAAGACTCTAATCGTAAAGGTATTTACGCCACGTGAAACAACACTCCTAGGCAACTGAAAGACTAGCATGTTTTGCTCCAAAAATTAAAGGGCACAGCAAAGTGGATCTGGTGACCATACATAAGTACAAATAAAAGGACACCTTGTTCTCTCTGGGAAGTCACGGCTTCTGGACTAACTGCTTTCCCCAAAACGGCACTGACACATGGCATCAGGAGACACTCTCCCAACAGGTGAACACTTAAGAAGTTACTGATTCTGCCTACGTGATTTTAGTTTTATTTTTAAAATCTTGTAAAGGAAAAACCACAGTATCTCAGACTACCTGATATCAATGCTGGGCTCCTTCTCCAGTATTTAACACAGCCACTGTCTGTGTTAGAACCTGTGTACAAACCACTGGTTTTCAAGTAAGTCAGTGAATTCCATAGAAGCAGCAGAATATTAACGAGAAAACCTCACTGTAACTAAAGGATCCTGTACAGCTTCAGAAGCCGTTAGTACTTGCTCCTTGTTGCCATGAGTTGGAATCGACTCGACAGCATAAGGCTGGGTTTTGGTATTTTAGTGTCGTTCAACTTAAAGTTCTGTGTTCTATTTTCAGCAGTACAGGACATTCATGGTAGAAAGGAAAAACTCTTCTTCTCATGGCAGCCAGATACCAAGATACATTTTCTTAGATCAAGCCACTGGTGTTAGTTTTAAAACTTAAGTCACCAGCTCTGTTTCTTATTTAAACAGTGAATGTCATGCCTGAGGTTACTGCTGTGCCTCATCTTCCATGTTCTAGGAAAGATGTGCAATTATTCAACTGAAAAGCCAGGGCTTTTCTGGAAGGTACTAATAGTTCTACAGAGATGTTAATCACTGATAACTGGGCAGGATTTGGCTCGTGGACCAGATTTCTGGAAGTAAAAGAATACTATTATATTTTATATTATGTTTACAGAAGTCTAATGCATTTTTTTTCTTGCTAAATCTCCTGTAAGAAGTGTTCCACTAAGTCCTGATAGAAGACTTCAACTTCAGTAATGGTCACTATGCATTAAAAGCCAAAACCGTGACAGGACAGACAAGAACCCCTACAGGTGAAACAAATTCTGCTTAAATCAACCAATCCCCAGCATTCTCTCTGGAAGCAGCACTACTCCAAACTAATTTGCACCATTTAGAGAGGAGAAACTGAAGAGGATGGGTCCCACCCCACTGTAGTATCAAGTCCAATGGGGCTTTAGGGAACACACAGGAGGGGTCTGGAAGACAGTTCCCTAAAATGCCCACCAGGCGGAAAAGGACAAACTCCCATCAGTCACAGATTTCCCGGAACTCTCAAAACCCCCTAACTTTGATCGCTCTAAGGGAAGCTGTTTTCTGCCTTGGCTAGAGCCAAGTCACGCCATCAGGGTCAGCACGCATCAGAAAACGACTACACACACTTACATAATAATATAAATAGAAGACTGCAGCCTGAAATTACCTTCATTCATTACTCGTTGGCAGACCAAGGCTCTCAGACGCCAAAGAGCTGGGTTACAGGCGAGGGAAAAAAGAAACATAGCCACAAACCCTAACACTCTCTCGGCATAAACTTCCTCACCCTCCTCTCCCTTCCATAGTGTGTGTGTATGTGTGTACACACACACACAGTGACACACACACACAGTGACAGTCACTTCTGCACTCACGTTCTCTCACCTCCAAACTCCCATTTTCCAGATCATCCCCCACGCTCGTTAACCTCCTCCCCGCCCCCAAGATCCACGCTCGCTAACTTCCAGACCCTTTGCTCATCTCCCAACCCTCAAGACTCACACTCACCTCCAGACCCCCACGCATCTCACCCTCTGGGACGCCACGCAAACCGTTTCCCAACCACACATCCTCACACACAGCACCCAAGCCGCACCCCCTTCCCGGGTAAGAAGTCCCGCCGCTGTCCCCATAACATAGCGCTCAGAGTTGCAGGGAGGGCAGAAAAGGCGGCACTCACAGGCTCCGAGTCCAGGCAGGCAGGTCTCTGGGCAGCGTCGTCAGCCCGCGCCCGCCGCAGTCCACCGAGTCCCCAGCGCAAGTGCAGGCGGCGGCACAAGGCGCCCGTGGGCCATCCGCGGCTGTCGCCGGCTCCAGTCGAAGCAGCAGCAGTGACAGGAGAAGAAGGAAAACTGAGCAGCGCGGGGGCCCGAGCGCTCCCCGGTCCGGCCGCGCCATCTTGTCGGGAGCGCGCCGCGAACTCCGGGCGCGGGGCTGCGAAGTCCCGAGCGGTCGCAGGCGCGGGCGGGCCCGCGGGGGGCTCCGCTCGGCACTAAGCTCCGCGACGGAGCATGGCCGCTGGCACAAGTTCTCTCAGCGGCGGCGGTGGCTCCGACGCTCAGCGGGCCCCCGGTGCCCAGGTCGCTCGGTAGCGCCCTGCGGGGGCCGCGAACCCCGAGCCCATCCGGGCCGGCCCGCCTGCGCTGGTTACGAACCCCTCAGACCTAGGCAAAGGGTACGATGCCGGTGCTCTTCGTCCTCCCGCCGCGCTCAGGGCCAGCGCCTGAGCTCCCGCGCACGCCAAGTGCCGCCGCTGGCGGAGGGCACTGTAACCTCGGCTGCTGGCAGCAAGTCGCTTAGCCTCGCAGCCTGAACTGGGCGCCCGTGGGCATCTCCTTTCTGTTCGGTGCGCAAAGCTGCAGCCGAGCTGAAGCGCGCAGCTACTCCCTCCGCTCGGCACGCCCCGAGTGCCTCGCAGTCTCAACGCCGCAGACAGACCGCGCGCGCGCAGTCCTGGCCCCGCACGGCTCCTCCGGGCAGCGCGAGCACCGCCGACCTCGCGGTCGGAACAATCAGCCGCTTGCTGCGAGCTTCCCAGCTGCCCAGCTCGGTCTAGTCCCTCAGGCCCCGCCCCCGGCCGCCCGCCCACACACACCCCTTCGACTCAGAGCCCCGCGGCCGCCTGCGGGCCCACGTTGGAGGCTTTGCAACAGGGCCCCACCACGCCCCCCCACCTACTGCTCATTGGCTGCTAGAGTTCACGTCTGCCAGTCTCGAGAGCCATTGGAGTGCTCAGCATGATCCCGCCCCTCCGCCTCGCCGGCCACCCCACCCCCACTCTATTTTCCCACCCAAGGTGTGAAGGGCGGGGGATTGGGAGGAGAAAGAGGGAGGGGCGTCCCCCTTCTGCTTAAAGGGGAACGCGGAGTGGGAGGAAGGGAGGCATAAAGATTTCCCCACTGGGTCTATGGGAGAATAGAAAGTTGGTTAAGAGTTTAATGCCCCGCTTTGGGGCTGTGTAGCCTCAAGTTATCTTCCCTCTTCCCCTGGCTGCAAACCAAGTGGGGATTTAAGGCAAAAATTCACCCATTTTTCTGGGTGCCTTCTAGGAACAAAACTACAAAGACAAAGATTTAAAAACTCACAGATTTCCTACTGAATTGGGTCATCCTTAGTTATTCGAAAAGAGATGGTCCCCATCCTCCCCGCACAACCTGGAGCTTGTTTCTGCTCCTGACTTGTTCCTGACCTCTTAAATCCAGCAGTATGTCCATGATTAATGGAGTTACCAAAATAAATGTGTGCTGCAGAAACCAAATCTCAATAGTAGATACTCCCCCTGGTTAGTTGAAGGGTACTTCTGGAACTGCTCCAACTTTAGATAAAGGGGTTGCTTTAAAAAAAGGGGGGGAGGCGGAGAGACCTGTTTAAGCCAATATTCAGCGAAACCCAAACCCACTGCTGGCAACTCAACTTTTAGGACCCTATAGAATGGCGGGCCCCATAGGATTTCCAAGGCTGTAAAACGTTAGGAAAGCAGATTGCCACATCTTTAACCAGAGTAGCAGCTGGTGAGTCTGAACCACCAGCCTTCTGGTTTATCAAACAAGTGCTTAACCACTGCACCAGTAGGGCTCCCTCAAGAAGCCATTGGCTACTTCTAATATAGACAGACTGGTAGCCTAGTGGCTAAGGCACTTGACTGCTAACCAGAAGGCTGGCGGTTCAAACTCACTAGCCACTCCTCGGAAGGAAGATGGGGCAATCTACTTCCGTAGTAATATTGCCTGGGAAACCCAAGGAGGGGTCGCTATGAGTCGGGTCCCACTTGACGGCACATAACAACAACAACAATATAGACAGAGTAAAAGGAGAAACAATAATCGTTTTAAAGCTTCTAACTTTGGTTCTTACAGGTTACAGCATAGTAGCCATGTGTTTGGACACTTCATGAAACAGTAAGGCAGGCACACACACGCACACACACACACACACACTGTGAAAAAATGAAAGATTAATACTGTAATATATTGCTGCCCCTCTGGGCATTTTGGTTTGCCGGTATCTTACATCTCTTCCCAAGAGTGTCCAAGTTTCCAACATAACTGTACATGTCAGGAAAATTAAACAAGTCAAGTCTGTTGAAAACCATTTGCTCCAGCAAATTAAATCTAACTGTTTTATAAGGGAGCCTAGTGCCTAAGGCACTTGACTGCTAACCAGAAGGCTGGCAGTTCAAACCCACCAGCCACTCCTCAGAAAGAAGGTTGGGCAATCTACTTCCACACAGTGATATTGCCTGGGAAACCCAAGGAGGCGTCGCTATGAGTTGGATCCGACTCCAGGCACATAACAACAACATGTTCTGTACAAAATGGAGGGAAGGAGATATTTGTCACCATACAAAATTTTTTTAAAAAGGCAAAAAAAATTAAAAAGAACTTTTGTTCCATTTTTTATACACTCTCAGGGGTTTGCTTTAATTGAGATGAACCAAGTGTATTAAATTTCCCTTCACTCATTAAACTCTCCTCCTTCCTTTAAGCAAACCTGGGTTTGGGCTTAGTAGTCAAGTGAATATTGTTTCCTTTCATCTACTTCTCTACCCCTCCCCCTTTCCTTCTTTTATCTTCTGATTCATTATGTGATCAGATAATTATGCCTCTTTTTTTTTTTTTTTTTTGCATGATCTCAGCAGTGATGCCCAAAGCAGTGCTTAAATATGTGTGTAAATCAATCCAAATATAATTCCTAAGAAACATTATTGTAAAAATGCTCCACCTGACTCATTTTACCCAGGGCCTCAACCAGCTTTTCTATTTTATTTGAAATCCAAATAAACATACACCTTAAATCTGGGTAACAAGAAAAGTCTCTTTGTTTAAAGGCTTTTGGGAAAATACTAGAAAGTAATAATAATGAACAGAGGGAAATGAGATATAAAGTATCTCACATTTATGAAGGCCTCTAGGTCAATGTTTCTTAAATCTTCCTAGAACACAGACTATTAATCCAATTTAATGTCCAATGCCCATAAACATTTCCTTAAAAGAAACTGTCAGATCCTCCCCACTATGCCACCCCAGTATCAACCAGCATATGTAAGACAAATAAATTGAGATTACTGAGCCTCTTGAAATGCCCATATAAAAGTATTTTTCAGGTTTTTTTCTATTGTTAGTATTATAAAATGAATATTTACTCTAACATATTTTCCAAATGCATGTGGGTGTACCTGTGAGATGCTCTTTTGGGATGTCAGGGTTCTGGAGAATAGAACTTAAGAATCTGCAAGATAAGGGTGTGCACAAAATCTAAAGCCATCTCCTATGGCCTGGTTACCATGAAGCCAGGGAAAAGGATTCTAAAGCTGAAGCCTGCAATGAGGAACACTTGGGGGGACTGGGCGCCTGAGCCTTGGCAGTTCCTCTGTCTACAGCAGAGCATGAAGTCATGTCTGCTCCCCATACCATGTATGGAAATTTGCCCACATACTAGCAACCTGCTTGTGATTGAAATGAGAGTGTAGGCTTGAAGAGCAGTGCTGTGGAGCTCAGGAGCGAACTCATGTGTGGCTACAACCTAAGATCAGGGAGGCCTGAACAACAAACACCAAAAAAGCATGCTTCTAAGGGAATCCATGTCACCATTTATAAAAGAGCCACTCTGGGTCCATTCAACACTGAGCAATAGTTGATTTGTACAATCTGAGTCCTCACTTTCTTCTACTGCCACTGCTACAATTTTGAGTATTTATTCCTTGTGGGGATCATACAGAGATTTTAGACTTTCCAGTTGGTTTTAATCTACCAGAGTCCAAACCCCAAAGCCAGCATGGAATCAAACCACCAAAGAGAATAACAGAAACCCTGGCAGGTAATCATCTTAAAATCACGAAAAAAGAGGAATCCAAAAGTAAGTAGCCGAAACCACCAAGAATTAGGGAGAGAAGCAAATGATAAAATAACAAGAGATGAGGCAGGTTGATCACAGGGGTTATCTATTTTTTTTTAAGACAATAATTTCCAGAGCTCTGAATTGTGGCAACTTGTTATAGTTCTGTGATATACCTCTTGCCATCGAGTTCAACTCCGACTCATGGCAGCCCCATGTGTGTCAGAGAAGAACTATGCTCCACAAGCTTTTCAATGGCTGCTTTTTTTCAGAAATAGATCACCAGAACTTTCTTCCAGTGAACCTTGGGGTAAACTCAAAACTCCAACCTTTTCTTCAGTTAGCAGCCAAGTGTATTAACTATTTGCACCACCCAGGGATGTCTTGTTACAGTTTTAGATGATAGTAATTGGTGGTTTTAGAGAATGCTGAGATTCAGAGGTGCTTTCTCAAAGTTAGAAGAGATTTCACATTATTCAAAGAGCAGGAGGGAAGCATTCAGAAGACCTGGTGCTAGCCAGGTCTTATTACCCATGAAACTCTTGGCCAACTCTTTCCTTTCTTTAAGCCTCAGTTGTCTCAAATGAAGAACAAGGACAATGATATCTCTGACCCAGATGCTAAAAAAGTTAAGAGAAGAATTTGTTTTTATGAAAGACATGAGGGACTTTATAAACTGTTTCCTGCTGCCACTGAGTCACTTCTAACTCATAGAGACCCTACAGGACAGGGGAGAACTGCCCATAGGGTTTCCAAGGCTATAAATCTTTACAGAAGCAGATTGCCACATCTTTTTCCCCTGCAGAGAAGCTGGTGGGGTCAAACTGCCAGCCTTTCAGTTAGCAACCAAGCACTTAACCACTGTGCCACCAGGGAGCTTCAAAAACTGTTTAGGGCCATATAGATCTAAGGTTTATTAAGGTGTGATTGAGTTTTAATGCTAAAGAATTGAATATGCATACACACTATAGGTGAAAATCTTAGTATATTACATTAGGGGTTTTTCTTTTTTTTCCAGAAATGCCACAAAGGGTTAATAATTACCTATAAAATCCCTGAGGACT